CACACACACACACACACACACACACACACAAGCCAAAAAAAGGCATGGCGCACAATGCGCACCCTTGCACAGTAGCGCGTCTCCATGCGCTGCGCGCACGGCGCACCTCGTGCGCGCGCATTCCGCAGGGCGCACCGCACCGCATCGTGCACCGCAAGTAATACAAGTATGCTTTTTCTTCTTCTTTTTATTTAACTAAGCTATATTCTTCTCTCATATGCCTCCGGCTACCTAACCCTATCTAAGTCCAGTTTTTGAGTCATTGAATGTTGCAGCCATGGAACGTTATGAGTCGACACCGATATCCACCTGTGCCTAAGCACGACTGCGAATCCCTAACACCTGGCACAAGCTAGAAGGCAGATTCCAGGCACCTCCTAACCGACCAGGAGGGGCAAGCCAACAATCTGAGCTGGTGAAGCCGAAGCATGCCACAGGGGGCCGGGGAGTGTCGGGTTCACCAGCTCAGATAGTTGGCTTGCCCCTCCTGGTTGGTTAGGAGGTGCCTGGAATCTGCCTTCTAGCTTGCGGCAGGTGCTAGGGATTCGCAGCGGTGCTTAGGCACGAGTGGTAGTACACTCTTCTTTATCTACAAAAACAGCAAAAAAAAAAAAAAAAACAGAGCAGTGGGCAGCGACGTGCTTCGCTTTTTGTTGACATCATCTTCCCTCTTTGCGTTAAGCAGGAGCAGTGGGCAGACATATCCTTTGTGGCAAATTCACTTAGGCAGCAGAGCACGTGTCTTGCAGCAAATCAACCAGCACATTCAACTAGCAGACATGCAGATTTGCAAACAGTGCAATGCAGGCACAAGACTAAAGAAACAGAGATTTTTTTTTTGAAAAAAGTATGATTAACTTTGAACTTCGAACTTTGGATTTAGTAATTTGAGTTCATAACTTCATAATAAGTTCATAACTTCATATATAACTTAAAAGTTCGAACTTTGCAGTTCAATTCAGAACGTCAGAGTCTTCAGACTGGCAGCACTGTCAGTGCTCT